ACCCCGGTCAGACAAGATGTTTTGGGGAATGCTATGAAAATGAAAGATATGATTTACAAGGAGCTGAGAAGTCTGAAGAGCCAAAGGCAGTTTTCTCAGGAGAACCAAATGACAGGCCTTAGAAAAACTATTGATTATTGTGAGGATGGTTGTCATACCTTTGAACAGGGCCGTGATCTCTCTGGGATCAACATAGGGTGAAGTATTCCTGAAAGTGGTCTATTGTTGGTCTTGTTGCATGCACATGTCTCACAGGCCGACACATTTTCCTTGACGTAACTTGTGAAACATGGACCCAGCGGATGAGTTTCGTACGGATTGTAGAGGGTACATAGGTTTGATTTGAAGGTCCGGTGCCAGGGTCTGTTTTCATTTATCACGGCTTGTTGAATGCTGGTCTCCGTCTCTCAGGATGGGGTTCCAGAAAGAAGAAAAAAGAGGATTTGCATGGACTTAAGTACAGGATCTGAGTCTCACTGGTGGTGAGCTGGATGAGGGCCAGGACACGCACAAATCAAAGGATGGTCGCACAACAGGGCGATCAGGTAACCAGGACATGAGCTGAGGTTGCAGGTCAGAGGCGTAGAATCTCTGGAGATTCACGAAAATCTGCCTGGAAGGCAAATCTAGAGATTAACAATAGGAATCTTAGAATATACGCAGAGAGCTAGAGTTGTTACAGCTGTGGAAACAACGTTCTGGCGATCTACGGCTGGCTACAAGTTCCCATCATACTCCCGCTGGATGAGAAGATGATCTGCAGGTGTATGGGAACGGTTGCATGAAGCAGTACCGCCGCAAGAGAAGTCGTCCCCTACAGTCCTGCAGCTAAAGAGGAGAAGTTCAAGATGGCGCTTGCGCGGGTGCACGCAGCGAGCTGCTCATCCTGTTCACACAATGGAACCTTGCGTTTTATTGGCTTTTATGTTGGCTTTTATGCACTCTTGTTGTTTCTGATGCTTTTTCCAGGGTATCTGCGGGTTTAAGGGAGCCAAATTTAAGACTTTTTAAGACCTTTTTTAAGGCCACTTTGACCAAATTTAAGCTAATTTTTCTAATTAAATTTAAGCTATAATTTCCAGCTATTGCCTGATTAGCCATCCAGTTACCATTAAACTTCCACTTCCCCATGGCACAAGCTCCCACTAGCTTGACCAGCTAATGTGCTCATCTAAAAATAGCCCCCTTTCACAACCAACTGAATGTGTACGGTTCTGCTTATGCCAACATCATACACAAAAAATGCTGAACACTAACTAGAAATTCACGAACATTTGATAGAAATAAAATAATCTTGTTTATTGGGTCTTTGGTCATTTAAGACCTTTGGAAACTATTTAATGATTATTTGTCATTTTTAAGGATTTTTAAGGCCTTAAATTTGGAAAAGCAAATTTAAGACTTTTTAAGACATTTTAAGGACCCACGGACGCCCTGTTTTTTTGAACGGTGTGGCTTCTCTGGTGACTTATGATCAAGCTGCGCTGCTGAGGCTTCGTCCTCCTGTTGATGTAGTGGGCGCTGCGTGCTGGGAACCTCACGAATGGCATTGTTGTTTGGACTGCCCATGCGCCCCCCCCACCCCCCCCCCCCCCACCCCCACCCCACCCCCCCCCCGGCCGTGATGTGTCGGCCTTCTGTCTGCGCCAGCTCGAGAAGGAAGCATCGCAGAAGATTGGGAAAGCGAGGTAGCCGGTGTGTGAGACGTCGGGCTGGACTTTCTGGATCCCTAAAGAAGCGGCTGGTCCGATTCGGCCCAGCTTGTGACCCGGTGGCTCCGAGATGTCAGATGGATTACTCCGCGCCCTGCCTTGTGAACTTGTTCGGCTCTGAGGGTGAGCTCGCACAATGCCACAGCCATTCGGCTCGAGGGCCTTGCCAGAGTGGGGTTTGCTGGGAGAATCTGCGCTTGGTTACGGGCTCTGAGCAAGAGCAGATAGTGCCCGTGCGCGATCCCGGTGCTGCGGCCCCACCGCAGGCCCGGTTTGGTCTGGTCAATGCCAGGTCTGTGCAGAACAAAACTTTTATTCTTCGGGATTTTTTTATTCAACATGGCTTGAGTTTTCTGTGCATCTGTGAGTCCTGGATCCCGTTTGGTGACTCAAGCGCCTTGCTGGAGCTGGTACCACCTGGCTGCTCCTGTTTTAATATCCCTAGATCGCGGGGCAGAGGTGGTGGGCTGGTTGTTATATTTAAATCCAGCTTTCCTTGTAAACAGCTTACACCCACCACGTCATTTTCTTCCTTTGAACTGTGCCTGTTTGAACTGCGCATCTCCCCCCCCGCCTGCTCGTTGTGCCGGTTTATCGCCCTCCAATCACTGACTCTAATGTCCTAAATGATTTCTATGATCTTGTGGCAGACTGTATCCTAAAATATGACTATGTCCTATTTTTTGGTGATTTTAACATCCATACGATGTCCTGACAATGTGCTTGCTAAAGGCACAGTTGATCACAATGTTCTTTTAGAAAGACTTGAACATGTTGTAGGGATCAAAGGAGCAGCGTTAGGCTGGTTTAAATCCTACCTGTCTGACAGATTTCATTTTGTAAATATACATGACAAATCTTCTTCATGCTGTCTTTAGACAGCATGGGATAAACTTCCACTGTTATGCTGACGATACTCAGTTATATTTATCCATTAACCCTGATGAACCTAATCGGTTGGGTAGATTGCAGGCTTGTCTTGAGGACATAAAAAATTGGATGACTCTAAACTTTTTGCTTTTAAATCAAGACACTACGGAAGTTCTCATCTTTGGACCAGAAATCCAGAAAAGGAAATTGCTTAGCCAATCACCTGACCTGAATGGCATTACATTAATCTCCGAGAACAAAGTAAGGAACCTTGGTGTTATCTTTGACCAGGACATGTCATTCAAATCCCACGTTAAACAAGTTTGTAGGATTTCTTTTTTCCACCTTCGGAATATTGCTAAGATTAGAAGCATCCTTTCCAGGAGTGATGCTGAAAAACTAGTTCATGCATTTATTACATCAAGACTGGATTACTGTAATTCATTACTCTCAGGAAGTCTACAGAATGTAGTTAAAAGTCTTCAGCTTGTCCAAAATGCTGCAGCTAGAGTTCTGATGAGAATTAAAAAGAGAGATCATATCTCTCCTGTCTTAACTTCCCTACATTGGCTACCTGTTAAATTCAGAATAGATTTTAAGATCCTTCTTCTTACATATGAAGCTCTTAATAATCAAGCTCCATCATACATCAGTGATCTGATTGTTCCATACATTCCTAACCGAGCACTTCGCTCTCAGACTGCAGGTTTACTGGTGGTTCCCAGAATATCTAAAATTAGGATGGGAGGCAGATCTTTTAGTTATCAGGCTCCTCTCCTGTGGAACCAGCTCCCAGCTTTAGTCCATGAGGCAGACACCTTGTCTACTTTTAAGAATAGGCTTAAAACATTTTTATTTGATAGGGCTTTTGGTTAAAATCTGATGTTAGCTTAGATCTGGACAAGTGGGGGAGTAGAGGGAGGTGGAGTGTACAGTCGGTAAAGACGGCTCTCTCTTGCCCTGACTCCAACATGCCTCCATCTAAATAGGATAGATTATCCTGAGTTATCTCTGTAGTTATGCTGCTATAGGCTTAGACTGCTGGAGGATACACTGACCACTTTCCACACTCTACTGCTTTCTTCTACAATCTGCTCTTTAACTGTATTATTTTCTGCAATTTTAGCTGTTAACTTTATTTTCTCTGTAAGTGTTTTTCTCCCCAGGAGAAGCTACAACGATGATCTGCTGAGCTGTGTTGGCCTCATGGAGGGGGCCATCGTCTAGCACACTGCTGCTAACCACTAAAACATTCTCCCTCTCCTGATAATAACTTTTTGCTTTCCTTGATGTTGGATGTGCTACTACTAGTTTATCCATTTAATTATAGATCCACTAGAATAAATACAATAAAGTTTATCTTTCACCAAATACAATATTTACTAAGACATCACAATATAACTATAGACACATTACTTGTGTGTGTGTGTGTGTGTGTGTGTGTGTGTGTGTGTGTGTGTGTGTGTGTGTGTGTGGCGAATTAAACTTGTCATTTGTTTTAAGGACAACGGAGCAAAGAAGCGTTTTTATTAAGCTTAGAGGTGAAGAGTGAAGCTGTTTACACACAACCACAGAAGTTCTTCTGTGAAAAGTAGTTTAACATTCAGGGATTTACACAGCTGACACGTTTAAATGAAGTAAAAAGTGTTTATGTGAAGAATATATTTTTTATCTTCTCATGTGGATAAATGTAAAAATGTGTTTATTGCCTTTTTGTCACCTGTGGTCTCTGATTTTCTCTGTAGGACTGCAGGTGTCCAGGGTCAGGAGAGGCTTTACCTGGTGGTCCTCCTGGGAGAGAGAGGCCTTCTACTGTCATCATGTTAATGTTATTTAGCTGTTTGATATTTGAACACATTTATTAAAACAAATACTAATAACTATCTGGTCATTGATTTTATCACCAGTTTTATTATTACAGATGTTTTTGAACATGTCACATGAACAGAAAATGAAAAGATGGTAAGGAGACAAGATTATTTATAATACGTTACACTTATTTACAGATCAAAACCAGTATGGACCAGTTTTGTACGGTTAAAGCAGGATTAACCTGAGTGACTCTTCCTGGATCATTTTTTTAAACTGAGTGAGCAGGAAGTCTTTAACAGTGCAGCTGGATCTGCTGCAGGAGGATCCAGACGTGGATGGAGGGCTGGAGCAGACCCGTGGCTGGACTTTTCTGGTCAGAGGAACATCATACAGGACGGTCTGCAGAGAGAACTTTGGGACGCTTCCTCTCACTGTCCACTCCATCGTCCATCTACAGGGCCTGCTGGGCTGGCTCAGACGATGGCTGTTACATCTCTAAGACGTATTCAGAAATATGAAATGAGGAGATGGTTTATGGATCCACCGGTATAACAATTGTAACTCTTCAGCAAATAAAACCACAGTGTGGTTTATAATAGAGGTTCCTACATAAATGACTTGCCTGTTAACAGTAGTGGTGGTCTGCTGGTACCTCCTGCAGGACAGAGCACCACTGACCTCCTCCACACACATCTTCCTCAGGCTCATCCTCCAGACCCACAACCTCACCAGCACCGATGCAGATGTGCAGCACAGTGCATGCTGACCTGTAATAAATTAAAAAAGAGGGTTTTTTTATAGAAAAATGTAAAACAAAACATATAACCTGCAGTACACTGGTTCTGTTCAGTTTAAAGAAAAGCAGCAGGGAATAGTTAAATAAAAACTACAGAGAATTTACATTTTTAAGACAAATCTAATCATTATTAGGCTTAAGTTGAATAAACAAATGCACATTGAAAACTGTTCAATGCTATTTTATTAAAAAGCCTGTTTTTTAAAACGTTTTACCCCCATTTGATGCAAAATAAGTTCTATGGTCCAATTTACATTAGAAAGCATCCTACTGCATTTGACATTTATAATGCATTTGGTTTATATGAATTATCTACATGATAATACTCTGTAGAAATGTGTTGTGTATGTTTAACAAGTTCATTCTGTAGCTTAAAACATACATGAAACCATCTAAAGTTAACATGTAAGTCCTGAAAGCTTCTAGAATAAACAAAGTTACTTTACCTGAAAGCGGTTGTGAACAAAAGCTGCTGATGGATGTGAAGCTGCTCTAGCTCCTTAATATTCCTGCTCCATTTTCGCTAGCTTTAGCTTTTTTTCTTTGCGTGTAGCTGCTGCCACGGCTGTGACGGGACCTACGGGCCACCGTAGAGGTGAAGGCTAGACTGTCCGAATTCAGAGCCGCTGACTTCCGGTTTTAGCGGTCTTAAAGGACCCGGTCTTGCAAGACCGGCGAGGACCCGTTGTCATGTTGGGTTGAAGTCTTTTGACCCACGACATGCAGAATCACACACAGGCAGAAGGTGAGTAAAATTATTTATTAAAGTTGGATGAGTGATGCAGATGTTGAATGGGATTCGGGAGGTTCTGATGAAGTTCTGCAGCAGAAAACCAGAGTGAGTAGTTGCAGGACAACGGGCATAAAGGTAATGAGATTTTGTCTTACGGTTTCCAGGTATTTAGAGAGAGTTTGAGAGGAGGGCACGGCCAGGCTGGCTGAGTTGGTCGGGCGAGAGGCAGAGGAAATGGCTGGGAGCTGAGCACCGGAGTCCAGGTTGTACTGATGGCAGGTGGGGGTTGGAGAGCAGGCGGTCAGGGGCAAGTGACGGGCTGGTGAGCAGGATGATTCGGTGAGTCTCTGGCTTGGTGGTGGAAGTTTGGCAGATGAATGGAAGGTACCTGAGGAGGTCGGAGGTAACAGGGCAGATTAACTTGATCGAAGCAAGGTAAACAGGAAATACACAAGACAGGCAAGGTTCTGGCGAGAATACTACCCAATACTGAGTAATCATCCAGCGCTGATGTGTTGTCCCGACACTCCTTAAATCCCCTGACCACTGATGAGGAGATCAACAACAGCTGCTCTCCGGACACACCCACCTGCACACAGAGAAACTCAACACAAACAGGTGTTAGCTCAGCACAGACCATGACACCCGTATTCATAAGAATCCTTCCTGTGGATTCGGACACACCCTTGATTTCACACACCCCGGTTCCATGACAGTCACATGAAACGACTCCATCTGATGAGGCTCCCATGTATGGCTATTTTTGGTTTAGCCACAGCCCATTGTCCGTACAGGAAAAAGCCTTCATGGAGTTCACGCTGGACATGTTCGTACTGCTTTCTGGCTGTTGCCTCGAAATTATAGCCATATCTTAATGCTGCTGTACATGGCTTTTGTGTTACTGGGTAGCATATGGACTTGATCAAAGCCCTAGATGGTCTTTACTGACTGCTCTGCAAAACTTGTTTTAGTTTAGAAGCTGTTAGTCTTCCTGCTCTTTGTCTGTACCAGATGGATGATGAGCTCTGGGCCCTGGTCTCCTCCTCTACTGCTTTCACCTGTGATTCGCTGAGGTCATCAACACAGAAATCCTTGCATGCTGCCTGTAGTTGCACTGGAGATAGCCGCACAGTCTCTGGTGTTCGGTATGCAAGAAGAAACTTTGGTAACAAGGAGACAGAATTGGGGACAAACTCTCTGTAACATGGTGCCCTGGACATCAAGGGAGCACTCCGTGGCAAGTTCTTGTGTAATGTCTCAAAAAAACGCACGTGTGTCTCAGAGTCTTTCCTTACTTTTGGACAGATGTGGACTTGTGTTGTATGACTCTTGCCTGCAGAGATGGCCAAAAAGCACATAATGTACCTAAATGCTGAAAGATTGAATATAAATTTAACATAAACAATTCATAGTTTCAGTTCATAGCTTCATCCAGCTCTGACCTTCAGCTCTTTCTGGGTAGGTTCACGGCCGAGTGTGAAGCGGCTGGGATGAGGATCAGCACCTCCAAATCTGAGACCATGGTTCTCGACTGGAAAAGGGTGGCTTGCCAACTCCGGGTCGGGGGAGAGGTCCTACCTCAAGTGGAGGAGTTTAAGTATCTCGGGGTCTTGTTCACGAGTGAGGGTAGGAGGGATCGGGAGATCGACAGGTGGATTGGTTCAGCATCTGCAGTGATGCGGACGCTGAGCTGATCTGTCGTGGTGAAGAGGGAGCTGAGCCAGAAAGCCAGGCTCTCGATTTACCGGTCGATCTACGTCCCAATCCTCACCTATGGTCATGAGCTTTGGGTAATGACCGAAAGAATGAGATCGCGGATACAAGCGGCCGAAATGAGTTTCCTCCGTAGGGTGGCCGGGCTCAGCCTTAGAGATAGGGTGAGGAGCTCGAACATTCGGGAGGACTTGGAGTAGAACCGCTGCTCCTCCGGATCGAAAGGAGCCAGTTGCGGTGGTTTGGGCATCTGGTCAGGATGCCTCCTGGACGCCTCCCTGGGGAGGTGTTTCGGGCATGTCCTGCCGGCAGGAGGCCCCCGGGTCGACCCAGGACACGTTGGAGAGGTTACATCTCCAATCTGGTCCGGGAACGCCTTGGGGTCCTGCCAGGAGAAGGCCGGGGAGAGGACGGTCTGGAGCTCCCTAGTTGGGATGCTGCCCCCGCGACCCGGACCCGGAAGACGACGATAAACAATTCATATTTTTGTCCACTGTTTTTAGTTATGAAAGACAACATATTAACCTGTCCTCCTAGCAATAGCACCATCTAGTTTCCTCTTCCGTGATCTCGCCAACGCAAAGTCAGTTTTCGCAACAGGTGCAGCTGTTATCTAAAGATATAAAAAAATAAGACATACACACAATATTATCAACAAAAAACAAAGATATTGATCATAATAGGTAATTATACCTTTTTGATGCGTGATGGCATTAGCCATTTACATTTCTCTGTAGTGCACGCAGTACTCTTCATTTTCAACACAGCCTCTGTTGCAAAAAGAATTGCTCCCACATGGGAGCAGGATTCTGACAATCTGAAAATAATTATGCCAAAAAATAATTATAATAATCAAAAACAGAAATAGTAATCTGTCATGAGACCAAATGAAATATGTGAAAACTACAGACTAAACAAGGACATGAGCTGCATTATATTTTCTGTCAAATAAAAAATTATTACCCCAGTGTGCTGTGACTATCTCCCCACACTCTCTGGCCATGAACCAAGCTTTTAGAGGAGGCTGTGTGGATCTCTGTGAATGGTTGACCTACATTATAGAAATATACACATTGAAATTACTTAAATAAACTACATCTATCCAGAAATTTGGATTTTAAAAGGCATGATAGGTTATTTACAAGTAGATGCTAGCACACAAACACAATCGTTAGCATTAGCACTAGCATTATTATCAAGAGCTAATGAAATAAAATAGCACAATTCTCTACTTACTTGAACAAAAACCAGACGGCAGCGATTTAAAGCTCTTCTGGGTCCTAAATGGTTAACCCAACCCGAAATACAATAGTTGTAGGCTTCCAGGCTTTTCAAGGCTTTCATTTGGTTTGACGTATAATAAGAAGTTTGCAGCATGAGGTAGTTTGTTATGTCGATAGATTCAACACTGGGTAAATCCTCAAGAGTGTAAGAGAAGTCCAACTTTTTTTAAACTGCAGGAATCATACCCTAAATGAAGTTGTATTTTCTGGCGATATCGTGTCTGCGCCAGTCCATTTAAAGCCTTTGTATCCATCGCGTTGTGTTCTGTTGCGCAGCAAAACACTTCCTGGCCCCCACCTCAAATTTTGCGCGGTTGTGACGTCACGGTAGTCATGTGAGTGAAACCCAGCAATTGCTGGGCTGTGCACCAGTGGGAAGGGGCTCTGTAATCCCAGCAGCACCATTGTGTGGACCGGCAGGTATTTAATCTGTCTCTGCTGAGAAGCATACTCAGCTGACTGGCAGCACTGTGGGAGTAGGAGGTGCTGCTCTTCAACTTCTTCACCTCCTGTTTTATTGTCCAACAACACAGACAACCAAAACAAGTTTTCATGCTGATGAAATCCTTAGATTCGTGTTTCAAAGACACAATTGTCAGTGGTTCACTGGTTAATTCTTAACCTTTGATTAATCAAACACATGACCACTTAGGCTCCAGCAGATCTGCATTCAGACTGGAGAACGGGTGCACTTTTTAATCCGGTCTCATCCAGCTAGTGTGTGTGTGTGTGTGTGTGTGTGTGTGTGTGTGTGTGTGTGTGTGTCGGGGCCTCCTCTGATAGCCACAGCTGCACCCTTTAGACAAAAAGTTTGTCAGAGAATCATTAGCCTTTGAGGGATTTCAGACCCCGAGTCTTTATTGTAACGGTGGATCTGCAAAACACAACAAACTCACCAAATGCTTTCTCAATCTACCAATAACAATCAGAAATTAGGTCAATGACTTGCATGGCATTTATATAGCACCTGGTACAGTTCAATGACTCCCCAAGGTGCTTTACACACCAGCCATTCACCTGTCCACACACACATTTACAAAATTGTGGTGTCTGTATAACTGTAGAGTTTTAGCAAACTGTCTTCGTCTTCGTCTTCCTCCACTTATCCGGGTCCGGGTCGCGGGGGCAGCATCCCAATTAGGGAGCTCCAGGCCATCCTCTCCCCGGCCTTGTCCACCAGCTCATCCGGCAGGACCCCAAGGCGTTCCCGGACCAGATTGGAGATGTAACCTCTCCAACGTGTCCTGGGTCGACCCGGGGGCCTTCTGCCGGCAGGACATGCCCGAAACACCTCCCCGGGGAGGCGTCCAGGAGGCATCCTGACCAGATGCCCAAACCACCTCAACTGGCTCCTTTTGATCCGGAGGAGCAGCGGTTCTACTCCGAGTCCCTCCCGAATGTCCGAGCTCCTAACCCTATCTCTAAGGCTGAGCCCGGCCACCCTACGGAGGAAACTCATTTCGGCCGCTTGTATCCGCGATCTCGTTCTTTCGGTCATTACCCAAAGCTCATGACCATAGGTGAGGATTGGGACGTAGATCGACCGGTAAATCGAGAGCCTGGCTTTCTGGGTCAGCTCCCTCTTCCCCACGACAGATCGGCTCAGCGTCCGCATCACTGCAGACGCCGAACCAATCCGCCTGTCGATCTCCCGATCCCTCCTACCCTCACTCGTGAACAAGACCCCGAGATACTTAAACTCCTCCACTTGAGGTAGGACCTCTCCCCCGACCCGGAGGTGGCAAGCCACCCTTTTCCGGTCGAGAACCATGGTCTCAGATTTGGAGGTGCTGATCCTCATCCCAGCCGCTTCACATTCGGCCGCGAACCTACCCAGCAAGAGCTGAAGGTCAGAGCTGGATGAAGCTAGGAGGACCACATCATCCGCAAAAAGCAGAGACGAGATTCTCCTGCCACCAAACTCGACACACTCCACACCACGGCTGCGTCTAGAAATTCTGTCCATAAAAGTGATGAACAGAACCGGTGACAAAGGGCAGCCCTGGCTGAGTCCAACCCTCACTGGGAACAGGTCCGACTTACTACCGGCTATGCGGACCAAACTCACGCTCCTCTGGTAAAGGGACTGAATGGCCCTTAACAGAAAGCCACCCACCCCATACTCCTGGAGCGTCCCCCACAGGGTGCCCCTGGGGACACGGTCATAAACCTTCTCCAAATCCACAAAGCACATGTGGATTGGTTGGGCAAACTCCCATGCCCCCTCCATCACCCTTGCAAGGGTATAGAGCTGGTCCACAGTTCCACGGCCAGGACGAAAACCACATTGCTCCTCCTCTATCTGAGATTCAACTATCGATCGGACCCTCCTCTCCAGTACATTGGCGTAGATCTTTCCAGGGAGGCTGAGGAGTGTGATCCCCCTATAGTTGGAACACACCCTCAGGTCACCCTTCTTAAAGATGGGGACCACCACCCCGGTCTGCCACTCCCTAGGAACTGCCCCCGATGACCACGCAATGTTGTAGAGACGTGTCAACCATGACAGCCCTACAACATCCATAGCCTTGAGATACCCAGGACGAACCTCATCCGCCCCCAGGGCTCCGCCGCTGTGTAGTTGTTTGACTACCTCAGCAACTTCTGCCCCCGAGATCGCACAGTCCATCCCCAGGCCTCCCAGCTCTGGTTCCTCCTCGGAATGCGCATTGGTGGGATTGAGGAGCTCCTCAAAGTATTCCTTCCACCGTCCGACTATAGCCTCATTTGACATCAGCAGCTCCCCATCCCCACTGTAAACAGTGTGAGTGAGTTGCTGCCTTCCTCTCCTGAGGCGCCGGACAGTTTGCCAGAACCTCTATGGAGCCGATCGATAGTCTTTCTCCATGGCCTCACCAAACTCCTCCCACGCCCGAGATTTTGCCTCGGCAACTGCCACTGCTGCACCCCGCTTGGCTATCCGGTACCTGTCTGCTGCCTCCGGGGACCCACAGACCAGCCACGCCCTGTAGGCCTCCTTCTTCAGCCTGACGGCTCCCCGAACCTCTGGTGTCCACCAGCGGGTACGGGGGTTGCCACCACGACTGGCACCGGCCACCTTACGACCACAGCTAGCAACAGCCGCCTCGACAATCGCAGAGTGGAACAAGGCCCACTCGGACTCAATGTCCCCCACTGCTCTCGGGACGTGGTCAAAGCTCTGCCGGAGGTGGGAGTTGAAGACCGTCTTGACAGGTTCTTCTGCCAGGCGTTCCCAGCAGACCCTCACTATGCGTTTGGGTCTGCCAGGTCTATGCGGCATGTTCCCTTGCAATCTGATCCAACTCACCACCAGGTGGTGATCAGTTGACAGCTCTGCCCCTCTCTTCACTCGGGTGTCCAAAACATACGGCCGCAGGTCAGATGATACGACTACAAAATCTATCATCGACCTGTGACCTAGGCTGCCCTGGTACCAAGTGTACCGGTGGGCATCCTTATGTTCGAACATGGTGTTCGTTATGGCCAAACTGCGGCTTGCACAGAAGTCCAATAACAAAACACCGCTCGAGTTCAGATTAGGTGGGCCGTTCCTCCCAATCACACCCCTCCAAGTCAAGCTGTCATTGCCCACGTGAGCATTGAAGTCCCCCAGCAGGACAATGGAGTCCCCTGATGGAGCACTATCTAGCACTCGTCCCAGGGACTCCAAAAAGGGTGGGTACTCTGAACTGATATTTGGCCCATAAGCACAAACAACAGTCAGGACCCGTTCCCCGACCCAAAGGCGCAAGGAAGCTACCCTCTTGTCCCCCGGGGTAAACCCCAACACGCAGGCAGAGAGTCTCGGGGCTAACAAAAAGCCAACCCCAGCCCTCCGCCTCTCACCCGGAGCAACTCCAGCAAAGTAGAGTGTCCAACCCCTCTCCAGGTCTCGGGTTCCAGAGCCAATGCAATGT